TTCCTGCTTTGCACTTGATGTGCTGACTCCTTTAGGCTTCTCTGCTCTTCACTAAAAAAGAGCATTTTATATTCAAGAATGTGTTTTACTCACATAAGAGTTTGGTTAGTTTTTGCTTTCTTCAGGTACTGTGATCTCATTTAAGAAAAATGGTGGCATCGTTCCTTAACTTGTCTCCAGGCCTCCTGCTTGGTGCCTCTGAACACGTAATTAGCCGTTGGTGGGGATTTTAAGGAAAAGTTTATTTCTGACTTTACTGTGATAATCATTTCACAATATACATGTATATGAAATTATGTTGTACACCTTAAACTTACACCGTGTTATATGTTAGTTATATCTCAAAGCAGGAGAGAAAAGAAGAAAAGTGTATTTCTTAGTAAAACGCTGGTAGGTAAGACTTAACAACTGGCTCTAACAGAAAAAGGTTCAAACTAGCCCTAGTTGAATAAGATGCTTTCCAGATAACTAAGTCTTTGCTGAAAGTAAGCAGAGAGAATCTTTCTGCTCTAGACGGGTTGCAGACTTTTTCTGTCAATGGCTCACATGCAGCATCTATTACAAATTCTTTTTTCCCCCCGCCCCCGAAACAGCCCTTTAAAGATGTAAAAATCATCCTTAGCTGCCCCCGCCCCCGCAAGCAAAAAGTGGTCACAGGCTGTAGTTTTCAGTTTCCTTATTGTGACAGGAGCTCCTTGGAGAAGTGGCTGATTCTAAAGCCGGAGGAGGGAAAATATAAGAGGAGCCTGGAGCTTCCCATAGCATCAGAGAGTGAGGAAGTGTAGGAGGAAAAAAGTAAAGGATGGGACATGTCTGAAGGACCCAGGAGTCAACTTGAAACAGCTCCCAGGGGCCAAAGCTTGAACAATTTGAGCCACAAAGAAATGAGAATAATGGATTATAACCCAAAGAATAAAATAAATATCTTATGAGTTCATAACTTTGTAAATGACTGAATAAATAAGTGTGGGAGGAGGGACAAATCTTCCTTACAGAAACGTACCAAGTAATAAATGTAGAAGGAATAAGGGAAATAGAAAAATCACCACTAGAACATCACAGTATTCATTGCCGCAGGGAAGACGCACGACTCCGGTGAAAACTATGGTGTAAAGCTTCCCGGAGACCCGGGGTGTGTGAAGAGCCTCAGAGTGTATCCCCGGGTATCAGTTACTGTAGTCCTTTTAACCTGTGTCTGCACATCCTGGGACACTCCTCCCTCCGGGAAGTACAGCTTAATTCCCTTACCCGTGCGTGTTCCCTGGACTTTGTGACCCACTCCTGAAGAGAGGCGTATGCGAAGGGAAAAGGGTAACTTCACTGTGGTCAAACCTGGCAGAAACCCCCTGGGCCAAGAGATCCAGTTTCACGTCACTGGTAATGATTGTGCCAACATCACATGCCCCAGATATGATGTCATGAGAAGGACCTTTCACCATGTGGTGTTCTAGATTCTTCCCAGATATCTGTAACCTCAGTCCAGTCATGAGAAAAAACATCAGGCAACCCCATTTGAGGGACATTCTACAAAATAACTGACCAGTACTCTTCAAGAGTGTTGGAGCTATGAAACACGGACAGAGAGACGTCAGAGATCGGAGGAGACTAAGTGGACATGATGAGTAACTGCAACATTGGTGGCCTGGATTGAATCCTGGAAAAGAAAAACAGTGTTGATGGAAAAACTGGTAAAATCCAAATAAAGTCAGAAGTTCAATTAGTATTGATAGTATTGTACCAGTGTTACTGTTTTAGCTTTGATAAATACACTATGTAAGATGCTAATGTTAGTGGAAGCAAGGTGAAGGGTATATGAGGACTGTCTGCATTGTCTCTGCGACTCTTCTGTAAATCTGAAGTTGTTTCAAAATCAGAAGTTTTTAAGATTTTTTTTTTTATTTGTACCAATTTTAAAGTCTTTATTGAATTTGTTACAATATTGCTTCTGGTCTCGAGGCATGCGGGATCTTAGCTCCCTGACTAGGGATTGAACCCACACCCCCTGCATTGGAAGGTGAAGTCTTAACCACTGGACCGCCAGGGAAGTCCCCAAATCAGAAGTTTTTTTTTAAAAAAAAAACCTCTAACTTCTTATCCTGGGCTGGTCATCAGCTTTATCTTGAGCATTTGAGCATTATTTTATTAACTCTTGGTCCCATTTGTATCTGGCAGAAAATATATTGATTCACTTACTAAAGTTGATTGTGGAATGTGCGTGTTAATATTGTTTATTTCTCTTTCCAGGGGAGGCACCTGCTGCAGAAATTTCCTCATCTTTTGTGATCCTGTCTGTGTGCAGTTTAATGATATTAATAGTGTTAATTGCAAACTGTGTATCCTGCTGTAAGGACCCAGAAATAGACTTTAAGGTGAGCACAGATGGTAGGAACATTTAAAGTCATCCTCTGATATATTTACCAATAGAATGGCTATATATCACAGTCCCTTGGGTGTAGGAGTTGGCAGATTTTTTTCTGTAGGGGCCAGATAGTAAATATTAAAGTTAAATAAAGAGCTATTGTAAATAGTAAGTACTGTGGACCATACAGTCTCTGTCATGGCTACTCAGCTCTCAACTTGGCCATTGTAGCCACGTGAGCCACAGACAGCATGGGAACAGGTGGTCACCGCTGTGTGCCAGTGAAATCTCGTGTACAGAATAAAGTAGGTGGTCTGGATTTGGCTCACTGGCTGCAAGTGCTGGCCCTGCCTCAGAGCATCATTGACAGTAGCCACTTGCCTGTTTTAATTTAAGTTTTGTCAAGTGAGGAATAAGGAATGATGATTGAATTCACTTGCTATAAGGCCTGTAAAGAGAAGCAGTCTGGTTTTGATTTTTTTCCAAACTGTGCTGGTGAATTTGTGGTTGTTGAGATCATTGAGGCCAGTGTGTTTTGTGTGTGAGGAAAAGCATCTTTCAGTTTACCTCGAGCCCTGAGTTCCCTAAGGAGGAGAAAAGAAGGGTGCCAGTTGTAAAGCTTGCCCAGGCTGGAGGGTGGAGGTGGGGGAGGTGATAATATAGAAGGATTGTTGTCGTAGCTGCTGAGGATGGGTGGAGTCTACCAGAAACCAGCTGGGATATCCCCTCTAGAACTTACTGCTGGCATGTGTTAGGGCTCAGTGAAGACTTATTAAAAAGGAGTACATAAAAGAAGGGAAAAAAAGGACTGTGCACATGCAGAGGAAATGGTCTTTAATATAGAGCTTTACCAACTGGACTAGGGCTGTCCCAGGAGTCCTGAGGACTGTGGTTCAAATCAGGGGAAAACCTTTTTCATGGACGTGTGAACCTTATTTCTCGAGCCTCACACCTGTTTCTGTCGTGTGTTCCCTTTACCTTGGGTCTGGTGGCAGCTCTGAGGAGAAAAGATGTGCTGTCCCTTTGGCTGGACACCAGTGTTATACACACAGAGGATGGAGGCTGGAGGACTGGGGTGGGCGTCTGGGGGAAAAGGCTCATGAGCACAGGTCATTTTCTTTAGAAGATTTCACCCCTGACATGGAGGACGTGAGCGCCTAGGCCCTCGGATCAGTGCAAACACTTCTGTGGGAGCCCAGCGACTGCGCCGCACGGGGCCACAGAGGTGGGCAGAGAATCCTGGTCCCTTGACTGTCAGTCTTGCTGAGGGACTTTGCACAGACCCCTGGCCCTTTGGGGACGAAGATAAAGCCTGATCAGTGTTTCTGAAAATGAAAGCCAGTTTCTCTCTCACATCACGATACCTCATTCTTGCCTTGAATTGTTCTAACCCCCCTGACGCTTAGTGTGGACACAGGGCATTTATGATGACTTAGATTCAGGGAGGGTGTGTTTTTATCGGGCTTCCCCAGGTGATTCTGATGCAGGCGGCTCAGGGACCACACCGTACAGAGGATCCTCTCCAGCTTCCAGGCTGTAACTGAAGAAGAGTGTCGCCATCTATCATTCGTGGGTTTCCTTTAGACTTAGAAGTGTGGCGTTTCAGAGCTAAATGGTCCCTGGGAAGTCATTGACAGGCCAAGAAGCTGCAGTCTTTTACAAGTGACCTGGTCTTCTCTTACGGCCCCGTTGTTGTTATTATTGTTGTTATACTGTTGTTGTTATTTTTATTGTTGTTGTTATACTGTATTACTTCTGTGAATCTTTAGAATCATCTGCTGCCTAATGGTATATCCTGCCACTGCCAAGGTTAGGAGTGATGGATGAAGTCTTTTTTTAATGAGAGAACCTTTAGGAGTGTCCGAAGGGGAAATTGGACAAAGCTGTTGTGTTTAGAGGTGACCTCACAGATTGAAGTGTCCTGCTCTCCCCTTCCCCGATACAAATAGTGATAGTGTCCTAATGCATTTGACAAGTATATGACATACCTAAGAATATGCCCTCTCGCATGCGTGTGAGAGCATAAATGTTATATCAGAGAAATCCACCCTTGCAACCTTCAGTTTCTCCCTTGCATGGGGGCGGGTGGGGTAGAGGGAGGTCGTAGAAAAGGGAGCTGTGTAGACGAGTGAAAACAGTCTCGTTCAGCTTCTGTCATGGCTCCTGGTGGGGTAATGCTCATTAATTATCTGAATGAAAGACCTTGATGATCATCTGGTATCTATGTTAAATTAACATGGACACCAAGGTAGGCCCAGCTCACTGGAATGATGATAGGAAGAGTCAGGATAGCTTTCTCCTGGACAGAGTCACTTAAAAGGTTTCCACAGCTTTATTGGTGCAGCCTCAATATTAAAGTTGCCATCTTTAGAAAGCTGGATGTTCTTAGAATGTTTATTGCACTTATGTGATACAGAGTTTAGTACTGACCTTCCTGGTTCAGATCTTGATGATTTTTCTACCCAGTTTAATAATTTATCCATTATTACTCTTTCCAGAGAAATAGGACTCGCTTAAAAATATCTTTTCTGACTCTTTTAACTATCTTTATTTTGATTGAAATCACACAGCAACTAGAAGTACATATACAATTGAAAAATAAATGTTTAGATTCAATATGCAGAGATATTTGTGAAAGTGAATAATAGTAATAAAAAGAATACCTTCAACTATAGTAACTTAAACATAAAATTTTGAAACTGGAAGATTATTTCCCTTTTAAGTTCCAGGGTCATTTTAGAAAACTTTGCATTTAACTTCAAGTTATCAGTTTAAAAATTATATAAAATATGTATAATTTATTTTCAGATCTTATTTATTCTGGTATTTTGAGTTGGAGAACACAATTACATATGCTTTTTACCTGAAGTCAGCACAAATTGGAAAAAAAAAATTATGGCGGTGTGTTCCAAATGAGTGAATAAATGTTCATATCTTAAATGTTAGCAGGTGTTTTTGGTATTTACTCTCAAGCTGATTTATGTTAGATATAACATTGTTCGTCCTTTATTTTAGGAATTTGAAGATAATTTTGATGATGAGATTGATTTCACACCACCAGCAGAAGATACTCCCTCTGTTCAGTCCCCAGCAGAAGTTTTCACACTTTCAGTACCAAATATTTCACTACCAGCTCCATCACAATTCCAGCCTTCTGGAGGTAAGACCTTCCATCCTGATGTCATGTTTCCATGAATAATTTCTGAGAAGTGAGAAAGGGAGCCTTACTACTAATCATAAAAAAATTGGACTGCCTGTCTCCTCTGCTTGCTAATTTTTCTTCTTCTGCTCTCTGGTGAAGCTGAATTCTAGTGGTCAGGCCCATTGCATTCCTG